ATTTCATACCTCAGTTTTTTTTTGTTGATAAAATAATTATAAATGTATCTGTCCTCCTTTTCTTGAAGGGCAGGTGCTATAAATTTTTGTAAATTTAGAATTTTTCAATTGATTAAATGTGTTATGCTATTTGAACCTGTGTTACAGGAGAGTGTTAATGTGTTAATGTCAAGTAAAAATTAAATTAAAGATTGGGTTAAGTAAAAAAAAAAGGTAAGAGCTTCCAACAATATCCATGCAAAGTAAATATCTAATAAAAGTGAGATATTATTAATACTATTATTATTGTTACAATCATTTATAGTTGAACTCAATTCAGTATGACTGAACTATAATAGGATGGGCTTTTAGTAAGGCCCAATATAAAAATATATTTTATAGTAATATGACAAATATCTGAAAACCCAGATATTTTCCATTTTTTTCACCTATGAATTCCTACATTTCTATACTATGTCCAAAATATATATAAAATATTTCAACACAAAATGGAAATTGGCTTTTTCTTGATGCTCTATATAAAGAACATTTTTTTTCCTGGACTTTTTTTGGGTTGTCATTAGTTTTAGCAGGATGTAGTGCCCTGTGTGCCCTGTGTTTAAACTTGTAGGGAGCATGACATTATTTCTCAGGCATTGTGGCCTTATGAAGAAGGTATTCTAACTGTTATTCAAAATTCATATTGGGAAAAACATAAATACATAAATATATAATACAAGCAGAATGTCATGAGTTTTATGAGAGGTTTGAATAGCCATGGAAATGCTGAGGGCAAAGATGAATTCCATTTGAAGGGATCACTTCCTCTAGATCTCTTTAAATAATTTACCATCAATTGAAATTAATTATTCCTAATGACCCTCAATTAATTTTCTTTCTTTCTTTCTTTCTTTCTTTCTTTCTTTCTTTCTTTCCTTCTTTCTTTCTTTTTTTAAGACAGAGTCTCTGCCACCCAGACTGAAGTGCAGTGGCATGATCTTGGCTCACTGCAACTTCCAACTCTCCAGCTCAAGTGATTATTATACCTCAGCCTCCCGAATAGCTGGGATTACAGGTGCACGCCACCACACCCTGCTAATTTTTTGTATTTTTAGTAGAGATGGGGTTTCATCATGTTGACCAGGCTGGTCTCGAACTCCTGGCCTCAGGTTATCCTCCCACCTCGGCCTCCCACAGTGTTGGGATTACAGGCATGAGACCCTGCACCCAGCCTACGTTCTTTTTTCACACTATTTTACCTTTAACCCATTTTGGTTAAGGAAAACACTGGAATGTGACACAATTGTGAGAAGAATAATAGATATATCATAAATGATGTAGTTGATAAGTTAATCTTGGTATCATTTTAGGGCTCAAAGGAGAACGTGGGGACCAAGGAATTCCAGGATACCCAGGAAAACCTGGAGTACAAGGTAGGGCATCAAATATATCTACTGTGAGTAGTCATATGTGCAGTATAGCCCTTCATTCTCTCCTGTTTGTATTTAAAATTATCAGAGAGGTAAGCTTAAAATACAAATTACTGTTATCCTTCTAAGAATTCAGTGTATTGACTCGATGAAGGAGCACTGGTCTAGGAATTTGGAGACCAGGTAATAGTATCTGTGCTCTGCTTCTTTCTCTAGCTGCCAAGGGAAAATAAAAATCCCTGACTTGTTCTGGGTCTGTTTCCTTGCCAGTAAGAATTTAGGCTTGAATGGACAATGTGGGGATTTAGGAGAATGCCTGGGTTAGGCCAAAATGCAAAGGGTAATGGAATACAATGAACAAGTACAGTCCTAATATTCTTTATTATCTTAAAAGTGGAAAACAAAAAGAACTAGATATATGTCATCTGAATATAAGCTACTGTTTCTTAGAAGCATTAACGATTCCCCTTCTAAGAGAATGATATAATATAAACTGTTCATTGTCAGAGCCTCCTAGGCACAGGTATTACTGAGGCAAGAACCAGGTTTCCAGGTCCTAATTAGTAGTTTTATTTCTACTTTTTTGAGCTCTGTGGTAATAGCATGCTGTTTATAGCCTATGTGATCCTTAAACATTATTTTAATTTTCCATTTCAGGTGAACTTGGCCCTAAGGGAGATAAAGGAAACATTGGTTTGGCAGGAGTGAAAGGACAAAAAGGCTCCAAGGGAGACACATGTGGGAATTGTACCAAAGGAGAAAAAGGAGACCAAGGGGCTGTGGGCTCACCAGGCCTGCACGGAGGGCCTGGCGCCAAGGGAGAGAAGGGGGAGATGGGGGAGAAAGGCTACTGTGGAGATTCTGGGGAGAGAGGAGGAAAAGGACAGAAAGGTGAGGCAGGTATAAAAGGAGAAAAAGGTAGCAAAGGGGACAGTGGAATGGAAGGCAAAAGTGGTAACAGTGGTCTGCCTGGGGCCAAAGGTGATCCAGGGGTTAAAGGAGAAAAGGGAGAGTTAGGTCCTCCTGGTCTCCTGGGACCTACTGGGCCAAAGGGTGACAATGGCAGTAAAGGGGTCCGAGGCCCCATTGGGAAGAAGGGCTCTCGGGGCTTTAAAGGCTCCAAGGGTGAGGTGACTAGAGTGCCCCAGTCAGCTTTCAGTGCTGCTTTGTCAAAGCCTTTCCCTCCTCCAAACATCCCCATCAAATTTGACAAAGTTCTCTATAATGACCAAGGGAGTTATAGTCCTGTCACTGGGAAGTTTAACTGCTCTATTCCTGGGACATATGTTTTTTCCTACCATGTTACTGTGAGGGGCCGACCTGCTCGAATCAGTCTGGTGGCCCAGAATAAGAAGCAGTTCAAGTCCAGAGAAACTCTGTATGGTCAGGAAATAGACCAGGCATCTCTCCTCATTATCTTGAAATTAAGTGCAGGAGACCAAGTCTGGCTTGAAGTGTCAAAAGATTGGAATGGGGTGTATGTCAGTGCTGAGGATGACAGCATTTTTACTGGTTTCCTTTTGTACCCAAAGGAAACTTCTGGAATTTCACCATAAGTTTGTGTCTTGAATCCCGTAGTTTAGATTTAGTGGAATAGGTCAATTAACATAGACTAGTGCTATTAAAAAATAACTTCAATTTTTTCAAGACTATAAAATAATACAGAATTTAAAAAAAAATGTCACTTAGAGTCAATCGTTATTTCTATTTTAAGGCACCTCCTTTAAAAATATTTATATATATTTCAGAACATATGTCTATTAACTTTGTAGCTAGGCTTTAAAATTTAGCATTATAATATCAGCATTACCCATGCCATTTAAGTATAATAATAATATCTGTATACAAAATATGAATGAGATTTATAGTTAATAAATGTGTTCTTACTAAATATTTTCTATATCTCAGATAAATGTATGTCATTTCTTTTTGTGTAAATTGCATAGTATGACAGCAAGTTTTTGACTCTCTTGGATGGGTTGTCTTCTGACAAAATGGAACTCTTCTCATGTTGGTTTAATTCACGGAGATGACACAGAAAGGGTGGCAAAGACTAGCTAAAGGATATTAAAAATTTATCAGTGTGTAAAGGTTTGCTCACAAAACTTGTATTATGTGGACTTGTGTGTTGGGTAAAATGTAAGAAAAAGTTGATAATCATAGTGAAGATGAAATCATTAATCAAATTATTGTGCTTAAAAGAACTGAATGTCCTCAAAAGAATCAAGAATAAAATGAAAACATTATTGATTTGAATTTTTGCCTTTTCTTCATGATAGAATATTTAATTAGAATAAATTCTTTGGCATCATTATTATCATCTCTATAATAATTAATTCTAGTTATTCAGTGATAACATTGCTGGAGCAGGTGGGGATTTGGGAGTTAATTTGCAATGCAAATATATAATAATTGTGAATATTTTTGTTAATTCAGTGGTTTCATTTTTGTTTCTTTTCTTTTTTTTGAGATGTGATCTTGCTCTGCCACCCAAGCTAGAGTGCAGTGGAGTGGTTCTCGCTCACTGTATCCTCAACCTCCTATGTCCAAGAATTCCTCCCACCTTCTTAGCCTCTCAAGTACCTGGGACCACAGGCCTTTGTCACCATGCTTGGCTAATTTATTTTTATTATTTTATTTTTATATAGATGGAATCTCCCTATGTTACCCAGGCTGGTCTTAAACTCCTGGGCTCAGGCAATCCTCCTGCCTTGTTCTCCCAGAGTGTTGGGATTATAAGTGTGAACCACTGCACCTGGCTGGTTTCATTTTTTAAAAAGCAAATTTATTGAATCCAAATTGAATTTGGTTCCATGAAGGCATAGTTATGCAGATTTGCAAATCTTGGTGCATCAAGACAGGGAGTGGGTGATAGAAAACTTTCTGGTCTTTGCCTAGTTTGTTGCACTGCCTACTTTGGCAAACACCATTCACTTTTGAGGCTCTCACTCAAATATATACACACACACATATACATATGTATACATATAAGTACATGCATATATGTATCATACATATATAATGTATATGATACCATGTGTATGATATATATGTATGATACATATCATATGTATATGATACATGTGTCATACATACAGGTGTATGATGTATGTATGATACATATATGTATCACAATATATACATATGCATATATACACATATATGTACATATATGTGTATATATGAGAGCCTCAAAAGTGAATGACGTTTATATATATATATATGTTTCTCATATTCAGAGGAATCGCATTTCTGGAAGTTGTTATGAAGTATTGGAAAAGAGTGGTTTCTGCATCAAACAAATATTGGAAGTACTATATTCTATCTTCCTGTTGAAGATTTATAAAGCACATTAGTGTAGTCTCAGATGTTCCCACAGAAAATAAGTTTGTTTAATTTTGTTTATCCAATGATTTTGTTTATTTTGGATCTAGAACTGATCATGTAACACACTGTGAAGGGGCATTTTGTAGTAAATCCATTTTGGAAATGTTGCATTAGTTTCTCATTTAAGGATCCAGCGGGGATAAAGTTAACTCCTGACATTTCTCCCATTCTTCAGCAATCCTTCCCTGTTTAGAATGAAATCTTGCTTTAGTTGTGGCTGTGCTTATATTTGTCAGAGGGAGAATAAAATAATTTGCAAGTGATTTAAAAAGTGATGCTTACACCTAAAATTTTTTGTTTTTCCAATTAGCATTGAATAATAATGAAATTCAGGAAGAGTTTTGTCTTTTATTCATATGTGCTTATGTTTATTTTTTTCTTTATGTCATCTCTATGAGTGGATTGGAGCAATTTGGGGAAGCTGAGAGACAAGCAGCCTAGGAAGAGAGAAGAAAAAACCACACCACAAGATGTGATACAAAAGAGAACCAGTCAGAGCACCAGTAGGAGTACAACAATTCGTGTGTAAGATTTAGGGTATCTGTTAGCATCTTACACTAGTGTTTGTGGTAGACGTTTTATAGGAAATCTGGAGTTAAGAGCTCAGGGTTAGGATCCAGGAGTAGTAGTTGATTATGAGTTCTTTTCAGGGCATCCTGAAAGTTGTTATTCTCTGCTAATGGCTTTGGGAGAGAGGTTCAAGGTTCTTCATGCCATTTTCTGCTATGAAGGTGGAGAACTGGACAACTGAGTATTCCCTTCTTTCAACAATAACATATCTCCCATCTTGTCAAAAGTAGAAAAATCAAGAAAAGTAGAAGAAAAGTAGAAAATTCAAATCCCATTGCAAGGATTTGAACACAATAATCCCTACCCTTTTTCTACCCTGATGACTACCAAATAAACACACCTGAATGCCAGCCCTGAGTACTAAACTGCTTAAAGTGTTGAGAGTGAAACGGACATTCCAAGCTTAACACAGCAAAATCAAGCTGCTCCTCCCGCATCCTACCTTAACTCACATAATACAAGTTCTGTTCATCTATTCAGGCCAGAAACCTTGTGACATTTTATTTTTCTCTTTTATACTTAAATTTAATATGTTAGATAATCCTTCTGGAGCTTTCTTCAGAATGTATACAGAGTTTGAGGAATAGTACCACTTCACTGCCACATCCTGGGTTAAACTACGGCCAGCTATAGCAATAACTTTGTAACTGCATTCCTCTAACACGTAAGAGATCCAAGGCTCAAATGCAAGTGGAGCCCAACATACCACATGTTGAAATATGAAATATTTAAAGCTTATAAATGAAGCTAACAAATATTTATTTAAAATATCTTCTATCTTTCTACTTCGAAATATAAGCCTTTGCATTGAAAAAAATAAAAAATAAAATTATGTCTTTTTTTGACTTACGGTAAACAAAATATCAAAGGTGACTTAATTACTCTGGTGTATGTCTAGGTGTCCTAGTGATAGGCAGGTGATATTTGAATGAGTAATAAGACAAAAACATTCATTCATAAATTACTCTATATTCATCCCATAGATGTTATTTTTAAAACTTAATTTCAGAAAAAAATATGATATGTTTTGTAATCAAGCTTTCTTTACGATACATGTTCTGTTGACAGTTTTGTCAAATTTGAGCACCTTTGTCGAGTCATTGTATTTCCTAGTTAATTTCTGTTTAGAGAGTTTTCTCAGCTGAATTGGCAATAAGACTTGAAAATACAGTGGTAATTTTATGATTAAGTTTCGTTCAAAGTGTAAGGTGGGTTGCATAAGATGCATTATTATTCTTGAAGACAATACTGCAAAATATTAAAATTTTATTATATAAACCAATGATCACTTATATTGCCATTTCATCATCTCTTAAAACACTATTTTAGAACCTATATTCACTCTAAATTTTCCGTCTAGACCTGCATTAAAACAAATTTGGGTGACATGAATTCTTATCTTTTAGCCATTAAATGTGCAACTTTTGCAGATGCCATGTAATTTACGCGTATCTCAAGAACGGTAAAATGAAACACAAAGAGAAAGTAAGAAAATAAATGCCCAGCACAACTGACATATAACAGCAACCCTTGTCACTGTTATCTATGGTATTTGTGGTCCCCAAAAGGAAGGACTTGATAAGTTAAGATGCATTTCTCTTAATCAAGCCTACCAATTACTCAATTCTTGCCATGCCATACCCATGATTGCAGGAGTACAACCCAGTAAACCTGATGGTGTTTGGAGGCGGTCACCTTTTGTTTAATGTGCGGAGGGTAAGAAGTACGGAGATGAATTTCTCAGGGTTCCTGCAGGGTGTTAGTCATAGGAACACATATTTAAGATTACAGATTGTACTGAGCCAGAAATAAACCCTTATCTCTAATCAAGTTGCCCTGAGTACTATAATAAATTTACACATTGTACACTTATTTTACGAACTTTTTAAAACATGGGTGTATGGCAGGGCCCCTCTGGCATACATCTAAAGGCAGTATTGCCCATTTATGCCTTGAAGAAAATATTAATTTTTATTTTGAGGTGGGGTTCTGCTCTGTCAACCAGGCTGGAGTGCAGTGGCACTCACCTGGCTCACTGCAGCCTCACCTCCTAGGCCCAAGTGATCCTTCTGCTTCAGCCTCCTGAGTAGCTGGGAATAAAGATTCCTCCCACCACTCCAGGTTTATTTCCACTTTTGACCCCTTTGATCAAAGCAATCCTGTTTAAAAAAAAATGTGGCTCATATTACCCCTCTGTGTAGAGCCTCTTGAAGCTCACATCTCATCCAAAGTAGATGTTAAATCTTCATTGTGGCCAGAAAGGCTCCATGTGATCTGGCCCCATGCATCCCCTCTGTCTTCGCCTCCTGCCTTCTCCTCCACCCTTGCTCTGGACATTGACCTCAACCCTTTTCAAATTCACCAGGCATTTTTCTACTCAGTAGTTCATATGTGCCATTCTGTCTAGATGGCTCTGACTCCAGGTAATGGCATATCTGGCTTTTCCTCTTTCAAACCTTTATTCAAATACCTTTTAAGGTGAGGCCTTCTTGGACCATTTGATTTTAAATTGCAATTCCTCTTCCCTGACCCTTGTCCCTGCTTTATTATTTCTCTGTAGCACTCATCACTGTCTATTATGTTATGTATTTCATGTATTGTTCTTGTTAATTTTCTGTCTTCTCACTAGAAAGTAAGTTCCACCAGGCCAGGTGGTTTTGCCTGTTTGTTGTTCCATCTCCAGGGCCGGCATATTAAATATGTGTTCAATGAATCCAGATTGATAGGGTCCAAACGAATGTGAAGGTTGTAGATACCTCCACAAGGTGGTGCTCACAGATTATTTTTGCTTTTGGTTTCCATTTTAGTTAATAATAAAAACAAGCCCTAAAGCCCTAGTCTGTTACAAAGTAAATAAAATCTGGTGACTTAGATTTCAAAATTAAGAACGTGATTTCATAAAACACCATATTTTATGTTTCAGTGTTTCAGAAAGCTACACTTTTTTTTTTTTCTTGTTGGGACATAGGACTATTGGGCAGTTTAATGTAGTTGCTATGAGAAACTTACAACTTTGAAAGGAGACCATGTCTCCTGTCATCTGGGTAAGATGCTCTTGAATGGAGTCCCAGTCCATTTTTATTTCCTTCCCCAGTATAAAATGGGTCATCCTAAGTCCTGGTATAGAATATATTCTATAACTGTAAGCCCACTTACAAAAGGGTTTTTTAATGAGACAAGAAGCCTAGTAGTGTTTAAGAATGCTGTAATGCTTGGAAAAAGGACTTAAGGAGAAGGAAAACTGAGAGCAGTATAGCTCTCAGTGACAGAGGTGGGTGGGGTAGGTAGGAGAGAGAGACATTGGAGACTATGGAGCAGTAATAAGTTCTATTTCCTGGGTCCTAACAATGTTTCAGGCAGGGCAATATGTGTTTAAGATGCTCTAAGTGATATGTAGCACACGGGAAGACTGAAGCATGGGTCTGTTCACAATGTGCCAAAGAACACCCATCTGGGAGGTGGTGGGACCATGGGCCCAGACAGTCTGAATCTGGTGCTTACCTTCTTAACCAACATAGTAGGGCAGAGTTTACTAAAACGCTTGACTGGTGAAAGACTGGTAAAATGCTAACCACCTACTTTTTCATGGCTAGTCCTCCAAGTGGGAAAAGGAATCAGAAAGGGGAAAAGAATCCACTGATTATCTCAGCAGCAGATGCCAGAGTGCATCTCATGTAAAACTGCAGATGAAACCAGTGGGCTTTGCCAGTAAGGAAGACGTTAGGTGGACACTTTCATCAGCCTAGTGTACCATCCCTGTGAATTTGGTGGAAAAATTTAGTAGTAGTACTTGATTGTTCTGAGAACTAGAATGAAAGCACATTTCTTTTGTTTGAGGTGTAATAATCATGTTGAGTCTTATAGAGATGGCATGAGATGTTTACATATACATAGTCCTTCTTTCTTCAGTAGAAAATGGACTGGGTGGCATCTCCCTTGTCCTGAGCTTGTAGGACTGATTATATAGTAGGTAAGAAGATGAAAAATACAATGAAAAAATACGAAGCAGACGAGGGGGTGGTGGAGCATTGAGAGTAGGGGGAAGTGAGAAAGTTTAAAATGAGGATCACAACAAGCCTCATTGAGAATGTAATATTTGAACCAAGATCTGAAGAAAGCAAAGATCAAGTCAAATGAATCTGAAAAAAGAGAGAGAACAGAAGACCAAGGTAGGAGGTTGCCTGGCAAGGAGGCCAGTGTGTTATTGTCAGTGTGAGCAAAGGCACAGGACGTGGGGGAGAGGTCCAAGGGGTAATGGGGTCGGACTGTGTAGGACTTTTAGGTAACTATAAGGACTTGGGCTCTTACTCTGAGTTTGGTAGATGTGGAGATGACCAGATCCCTCTCAAAGAAAGACTAAGTGCCCCATTGTGGGAATGTGGTTGGCAGCAGGCTCCAGGCGTTAGTGCCTTTAAGAGCTGTCTCTGCTGCAGACCTGCCTCATTCGAAGTTATGCCCTTCCCAGGACAGTCCAAATCTGGTAACTAGGCAAGTTGGGTGTATAAGGTCTGGCCATTTTGGCTCTTCAAGGTCACTTTTACAGGCCATATTTGCTCTCTACTGGTTGGCCAACGCTCTGCCAGGCCTTACTGTAGCTCAACTTCTTCCCTGCCTGATACTACCCAATTCTTCCCCCTCTTCTTTCCTTTCACAGGGAATCTGTGTACATCTTGAACTTGAAACACTATCTCCACATCTGCTTCTGGAGATGCAACTGGTGACGATGAGATGTAAAATGTAAGAGAAAGTGGTCGAAGGTACAATTTTGTGGACTGCTTGTTTGTTCCCTTCTCCCTGACTTCTCCTTTGCTCTGCACCAGAGCTGAAAGAATAAATGAATACATTAATTTTATTGGAATCCTGTTGGAAAATTTTGGCCTGACGTTTGGTTCCAAAGAACCTCTGTTGTCTGACTGTAGTGGCTGACACCACAGACTCAAGAACAAGATGTACCTAGCTAGAATTTCATTTACTGATGATACAAGTTGGGCAAGACACTGAGTTTCTGCACCTCAGTTTCTTCACCTATAAAATAAGATTTTAATACAATAAAATAGTTCATGATTACAAAACTCTTAGAATTGTGTCTGGCACATAGTAAGTGTAAGACAGGTGTTTGTTTAATAAATAAGAAAGCTAGCTTTATTCAAGTCAAATGGCTGAAAGGAGGTATTTTGTATATGGCATTTGTCGAACTCCTTTTCAGAGACAGATATGTATGAGTTTTTCAGCTGATGGATTTATGATTGTTCGGGGAGGCAAAATCAGGACTGATTTGGGCTCAACGTAGGATCAAAGGTAATAGTGTTGATTGAATTATAGCTTTTCAGTTAATCAAGGCCTTCCCATAGAGCATCTAAATTATATAGACATAAAACTAGTGTGGTTTATAAAGGATACATTAAAAGAAAGTGTCGCTTTTTTTTGAAATGAAATTGATATTTACTTGTTCTTCAAGATCACTATTTGTAGAGTTTCTATACTGAAGTGCATATATTTGCCTTCATATTTAGGCACCCAGGGTCACTGTCTTGAATTGTCACGCTGACCACATGCTTTTTAGACACCTGAACAAGACACCGAGAGAGGGCCCACCTAAAGATGGATATTCTGCTGATCTTAAAGGTAATGACAGTGACAAATGAGACCTCCCAGTGGACCATAGCGAGGGTTAGCAGCAGGAAATTGCATCGGCTCAGTAATTAAGGCAACATCAGCAATCAGAAGACAGCAGCAGGGCAGGTGGCCTTGGTCTAGCTGCTGTCTCATCTGATCCATCGCACAGGGTGATGAGTCTGAGATGTGTCTGCATGGCCTGCAAACACAATCTTCCCCTGCTTCCCCCAACCTTTTTTTTTTTTTTTTTAATAAATGAGCAACAAGAAATTGGAACATCCAGATTATTCAATGTCAGAGCTATTGCCAAAACAGCACGCCCACTCTCCTCAGATATTGAATGCAAGTTAAAATTGCCTCTGGCAAAAGGTTTTGTGAAGGCCTTCTTCATTCATTTTAATTCAAGAAAAATTAATGAGCACCTACTATGTACCAGGCACTAGTCTTAATGCCAGGGATACAAAGATAAATGAGATAATTTCTTGTCTTCAAGGAAGTCACAGTTGAATGAAAGAGGCAACTAAGTAACAGCAATGGTTGTTCCATCTTTTTTGTCTCATGGATGGACGAGGACCTAAATGCCATGACAATTATAGAAGAAATTGAGAAAACACTTGATCTAGGAAGTTGGTTGATTGATGTTCTTATTTTAACAACTCCAAGGAGTATTAAGCAAGAATTTATTTCAAAATGTTCTGCCTCAGCAGAAGAAAAATGGTGAATAAAAATTCTAAGAACAACATTTTCACAATTGGGTGTTACCATGTGGGACTCTAAATCTTGTTTCTAAGACCTAGGATTGATAAGGAGAGAGAAGACTAAAGAACCCTATGGGGAAATTAGAAGTTGAAACCTGGCAGAGTCAAGGACCAAAGCAGGCAGAGGCATTATTGTAGCTCTCACCTGAGCCTAGAAAAATCTCAGTAATTACCTCACCAGCTCCTTTTGAGGGAAGAGAATCTAAAGCTTGTATTCTGTAACTCAAAGTATGTGGCCCAAGGACCCACAGATTATACCATTCACATTTCCACCAAAGACTTCTGATTTTAAAAATGAAATAAATTTTGGGGGACAGGATATAGCAACAGAAAAAACACAAGTATTAAATGTACACCTTGATGAGTCTAAACATATGACTATGCCCATTAAACCATGACCATATCATTATATGGCAATTTTCCAGTACCTAGAAGCCTTCTTGTGCCCATTTCCAGTTAAATTTTCCACCACAGAAACATAGCCACTACTCTGATTTCTATTACCATAGGTTAATCTTGCATGTTTCTGAACTTTTTATAAATGAAATCATGCTCTTTCACATCTGGCTTCTTTCTTCAACATTCTGTCTGGGAGATCATCCACGTTACTGTGTATGTAGATCAATAGTATTTAAGATGTTGAACATTTGATTGGTCTTGCTGACTGGCCATTTGTGTATCTTCTTTTATGAAGTGGCAGCTCAATATTTTGGTCCAATTTTATTGGATTGTCAGTCCCTTTCTTTTTGACATACAGGAGTTCTTTAGATTACCTCCATACAAGACTCTTGTGTTTTAATTTGCTTCTCTTGTTTTCTCCAAATAGCTTATTTGTTCCCTGAATCATCTCCCTTTCATTCATTTCCCTTAAGTTTCCAAAACTTTTGAACTTAGTTTCTCTGCTGCCTTTCTACCTTTGTAGACCCCAAATTTGGATCCAAAAAAGTGAATTAGATGTAATTGACTGAAAATTCTTTTTAAATTTTATTCTCTAATATTTATCTTTTAAAAAGAAATAAAGGCAATAGATAGAATATCTGAGGATGGAATTTCAGGAGTTAGAAAACTGGTGCATATTTGTTTTTTTAGGGAGATCAGGAAACAAGAATGGCCTGTGAAAGGTACAGTTTTATATCTCTCAAATCCAACTATGCTGCCATTTCTCATTTTTTTTTAATTTTGGATAATTAGCTTTAAGAGATGGGATGCTGAACAAAGAAAAAAATTTATTCATCAATGAAAGGTTGCTTCATTAAAAAAGAAAAGATTAAGGGTTATATGGCTATTCCTGCATCACTCGTTTCAGGACTATTTCAAATGACTGACCATTAGTGTCTTACCACCAGTCTGAGAGTCTCACGGTGCAATATTCTAGGAAGATTTGTTACCTGAGAAATAGGTTCTAATATTGCAATAATGATTTTCTAGAAAATTACAAAGCATACCTAAGAAGTTAGCAAATAATATTAAATTGGGAAGTAGAACCTAATATCTTTTGGGCAGGAAAATTATTTAAGATGCCCTTGAAAATGAGGGTAAAAAACCCAGAAAGAATAAGAAAAAACATTAGTGAAGCAATTTATGTGATAAGAGAGAGTTAAATTAGAGGGGAAAAAAAGGGAGAATTTCCAGTACCTTCCAGGTGCTTCCGTAAGTACCTGGAAGTCTTCTTGTGCTCACTTCCAGTTAAATTACTTCACTCCACGAACATAGCCACCACTTTGATTTCTATTACCATAGATTAATTTTTGACATTCTTGAACTTTTTGTAAATGGAATCATGTAGTTGCTTTCATGTCTGGCCTCTTTCCTTAACATTCTGTTTGAGAGAACTTCCATGTCGTTGTGTAGATCATCAGTACTTAAGCTGTTGAACATCTAATTGGTCACATGGATTGGCCAAATCCAAGGAGTTTCTGCTCATCTTCAAGCTGAGACTATGCTTGAAAATAAAACATGGTTCGGAGTCCAGCCTAAGCAAACAGGGTATTAGTCCTCACTCTAAAAGCAGCTCTCAGATTTGTGAATCTCAGTCTGTTTTTGCCACAAATATTTTACTTCTCCAGTATTTATTGGTCAATTTCTGGCAGGTGTTATGACAGATCATACAATTTTGTAAAATCATCAATTGAGGTATTTATTAATTATAATATGAGAACACAAGAGAGGTTGAAGTCAGTCTAGGAGTATTAGAGGAGCTTTTGTATTTATTTATCCATATATTAAATATTTATTGAGTGCTTACCTCATGCCAATCATGCCAGATGCTGAAGACACTGCTTTGAACAAGACAGATATGCCTTTGCCTTAATGGAGCTACAATTTCAGTGAGACGGAGGATATGACATTAAAGGAGATCTTGAAGGATCCATTAAGTCCTTATCATGTGGAAAAGCAAGGAGTGTCACTGCCAGTAGAGGTTCCTATAGGAAGAATTACAGAATTTGGGAAGAGGTTGATACATTTAAAGAAACTACAAATAGTGGGATATGGCTGGAATCACGACAAAGAACAAGTAGAGTGGATTCTTCCGAAAATGTTGCATTTAAAATCTACCACTGGCTAGCTAGCTAGAGCTATCTGTCTGTCTATCTATTTGTCTGTCTGTCTGTCTGCCTGTCTCTCTCTGTCTGTCTGCCTGTGTCTGTCTGTCTGTCTGCCTGCCTGCCTATCTATCTATCTATCTGTCATCTGTCTATCTGTCTATCTATCTATCTATCTATCTACCTACCTACCTACCTACCTACCTACCTACCTACATATCTATCATCTATCTGTCATCTGTCTCACCTGTTCTGTGCATGATACTGAAAAGCACTGGGGGAATTCATAGAGAGAGGAATGTGGCAGGGCCTCTATCCTTAAAAGTACATCTAGTAGAACGTAGAAACCTCATACTTAAACGGTATCATTAGGGTGAGAGAAGCTGAGAGATGGATTAAAATGAAAGGAGCTAGGTTCAGGGTTCAATTTGGCTCTATGACATTATGAAATAGGATTTTGAACTTTTAATAGAGATTTCCCTTCCCTTACCCTCAGGTGTTCAACAACAGTTTTGGGCTGTTCAGCTCTACCAAGAAGTGTCAGAACAGAAAAAAAGACAAGCCTGGTAAGATGTCAAGAACAAAATGGCTCTTTGGGTTTCCAACAGACTGTTTTTTGGTCAAATAACCTTTATGTTTTAAGTTTCAAAAGGGCCAATGTAGGGTTACATTTATTAAACTCTCTTAAATGTCTTTCAGAAGTATTGGGTATATACTAGCTCTTTCTGTAGTAACAACCAACCTTCAAATTGCAACGGCTGACAATGAGAGACATTCTTTCTCACTCATTTGTTAACAAGTTGGTTATAGTTTTGCTCAGCTCTGCTTGACTCTCCTGGACTGGAGAGCCAAGGATGGGATGTGAAGTGGGGTCAGGTCTGTTCTATGTATCCTTTAATTCTGGGACCTACGTGGAAGACCTAGGTGGCAGAGGGCTGAAGCTTAAGCAAATAGCAGAAACTTGCAAAGCCTCTGAAAATTTCTACTTGGTCATAATATAAGACATATTCACTGATATTCCATTTCTAAAACAAGTCTTGTGACCAAACCCATAACTGGACTGAAAAGCATGTCTCTTTTCATGGGTCAAGGGCAAGAGAAAGTAGCATAAGTGTTTGCCAATCAGTACAATCTACCATGAAGTATGTATTTATGCACTTATTTTAAATAACTTCTACAAATAAACTAAAATATCTCTCAGGAATTTTGTGATCAAAACTATTAGAGAACACTACATTTCAAAGAAAATGTTCTTTCTAAGATTGTCTTTCATGTTACACTAGGAGAATTGATAGAAGTTGATACCTAATAATGATATCAAATACTTGACTTGGGGTAAGATTGCTATGGGATGAAAGTCAAATTCGGGCTACAAAAATTTAGGGATATCTATTTGTAAGAACTATTTTTGCAGTTATGCATTAATTTAGAATTGATGTGACTATTAGTCACTCAGGTATTAGAGTGGATCTTTACACATGGAAGTACATGTTTTTTGAGGGGAGCTGGGATGGGGTGGGGGAGATGGCGAATATTTTATAATGTAGATACATCTAATTGCTATGTTACTGACACAATCTTCATGTTTGTTTGAACAGTGTGTGTTTCTTACATGTGCTTTCCCCTGCAAATTCAGGTGGTATATTGCTATATATAGCAATATATATTGATGATTTGTACTCCAACAAATGACAGTCGTCATTTTCCCTGTGTGTGTGAAAAGCATAAATCAGTCCTTGCAATGGGACTGTCTCATATATGAACATCAAAGTTAAACTTGATTATAGAATTATGAGTTAAACTTAGAACAATTTAAAGGCAGTGTATTTTGTGTGGATATTTAAGTGGCTGTAGGACATTACATGGCATGATGAAAGCATCACATTTTCTGTTCCTTTTTGTACTTTTATGCTTTATACTGATATTAGATATTACTTGTAGTGTGCAATGATGATTATTTCATATTATTATTCACACTTCTGCAGCTTCAGTGAGCACTACTTAAAACCAAACCATTGAGCAATTTCAATAGGCTTCGAGATCACAATGTACTTCTCTAATTAAGAAGTATTGCTGTGTACCATGCTTAGACAGACCTGCAATTCAGCACAAGGCAGCTCATCCTGTTATAGGGTTAGATTAATTCTGTTTTTAAATACAGATGATGTAAAACATTCCTGGAGAAAACCACTTTTCAGTTTTCTTGGAGCCACTATGAAGTTAGTGAGGGGATAGAATAAAAAAGAGAGAATACGTTTGATCTTCTAGTGAGGGAAATTAAAGCCCTCATTAAGAAATTATTAAGAGGTCTTTGGGATCCAGCTGCATTTCTTTTTCCATCCTCGTTTGGGTTTTGGCTTTTTGTAGTAGTTAGAGTCCTTTCAGCTGCAATTAATGAGAAACCTAATTCAGCCAGGAGGAAAATTTATTACCTCCTGTAACAGGTGGTCAAGAGGTGGGCTGGAGGGGCCTGTCATGAAGATAAGAAGGGTCTAGCTCTATTTCTCTGCTATTCTCTTGGTTCTTGCTTATATCTGTTTTCTCTTTATTCTCAGGCTGACTTATCTCATTGTATTAAGATGGCTGCTAGCAACAGCCAAGGAAAGATGCTTCCTTGATCCTGTCCAGAAGATAATTCTTCCCCAGTGTTTCAGAGATGTTAGTTGTTACCCCATATTCATTCTTCTTTGTTACATACTAATAGAAGATTTAGCTAGAAGCATGGCTTTCTAACTAAAGATGGCATTTTTCCAGCCTCTCTTCTATTTGTTTATAGCCAGGAGACTCAATGGGTTCAACTTTTGGTTATATCCTGAAATGGAAGGAGAATCTCTTCCACTTTTCCCTTTTCAATGGATGTTGTTGAAATTAGTCCTTGAGATGGAAATCTGGTAAGGAAAAGCATGAGCAATAATGTAAAAGGAGCTAGGACAGCAGAACTACCTTGCAAGCTTGAATTTTGTACAAGAGAGTAATAAACTATGTTTTAATTTCAAATTTTTTGTAAGATTCCTAAACCTATATCCTTACTAATGGGAGTAAAATAAAGCCAGCCTACCTTTCAGGCTTGCTTCTTTTTTCAAATTTTATTTTAAGTTTGAGGGTACATGTGCAGGATGTTCAGATCTGTACCTAGGTAAAGGTGTGTTACAGAGGTCATGGAGGTTTATTATACTACTTGTCTTACATCTACTTCTGAGATGTTTTGACTGTGTCTTTAACCCCTATTCCTATTCTTGTCAACATAAATAGGACGTTCATTTGATATTTGATTTATTAATAAACCATAATAAATCATTGTAACTCTTCACATGGTAAATTGTCAATGCCAGTCAGAATGTGTGATTCCTTGGAAAGGCCAGTTATTAGAACTACTCATTCAAGGACAAAGCGTAATTGCTGTCAAACTACAGTTATTGAAGAAGTCATTGAAAAGAACCCTAACAGGACCATAAAAAACAAAACAAAACAAAACAAAACAAAACAAAACAAAAAACAAATCAAAATTGATGAGGCCAAGTGAAAGGTAAACACAGCCCTTTGGAGAGAATTTTAAAAATTCATGCATTTACCTTTACTCACTGCAAAAACAAGGCAATTACAAGATTTCTGGCTTTTTAATTATACTGTTGCCACATATTTTAACTTTAATGTTTTGAAGAGTCTTGGATGAAATTGTTTTAATTGAGGCCAACTCACTAATTAGTTATTATTTATAATTAGGTAGAATTTTCCCTTAATGTAATTTTGCTAGAGACTCCAAAACACCTAAAAGAAAAGCAAGCGCTGTATGCAATGAATAGTTATTTATACAACTTTATTTTCTCATCTAATGAGCTAAGCAATAAAAAATAAAAGGGAGGAAGGAAGCTAACATTTACTGGACCATCACTCTGTGCTAGGTGTCTTGTACATAGAATCTTATTTAACTTCTAAGTAACCTGGTGTGATAGACATTCAATGCATTTTAGAGATAATACCTTTCTGAGGTTCAGAAATATTATGTATCTTGTCCAGGGGCACTAAACAGGTATACACTGGAGCCAGGATTTTGGGTTAGAGTGTCTTGAATACAACAGAATCCATCTCTGTTACTGTAAGGTGGAGGCCTTTCCTCCTCAACCTCAAATACCTTCACAACTAGGCAGCAGTGTCAATGCATGACTTTCAGAGGTAGGTAGCAGAGAATATAAGTCATATAGAAGTTGAACTAGCGGATGTGTATTTTGCCTAGAAGTATTCAAATTAAATAAACAAAAACCATTTGGCAGCTAAACAAACTTATCTCCTAGCCCTATCAGACATGCATGACAAGAGTTTGCAATCTCTAAAATGCTGAGGATACAGCCGTGCATGAGCAAAAACAAGTCAAGGAAATTGTGGATGTCAATAAATTTGGACCTTATCCCATTGTTTTTCTCAAAACTTAAGACTTAATTCTCTGATTGTCAAAGTTAAACTAGTTCTTAAATTATTTATATAAGCTTCATTCTCAGTACACTTAAATCCTGTGTAGTTACACAGACAAGATGTCAGTGGTAGGTAGGAGAGTTAAATCATATTTTTGATTCAAAATGCCATAATCTCTTCTCTCTCTATATAAAACTGGTTAGCTCTCTTCTTTTGGTTATTTTGTTCCCAAACTGCCACTAAAGAATTTCCAACTATAGAATCTTTTAATGCAGTTGAGAGCAGAAACTATTAAGGCAGCAAAAACAGAATTAGGAAAAAAAAAAAAAAAGGCCAAATCAAGTAATGGAGCAGTTAAGATGTTCTAATTAGAGTTATAATTGTAAATTGAGTGCATGAAGATAACTTAAAATTTTTCTCATCTAGGCATTTTTTGATTTGTATTTTATTTCATTGTACCTGATACTTAAATTTGCATGTCTTGATGAATCTATGCCAAACCCTAAATAAATTAACAAGGAGTTTTAAAAATGAAGCTTTTTAGAAATACTGTAATCAAGATAATAATGAAGGAATTACTTTTATATAGGTCTTTCCTGTGCTGGCTGTTACTTCAAAGTGCTATTCAAAATTCTCCTCAAACATAACTACTCCTTTGAGTAAGTTTCAGCACAACCCAGTAATCCTTTGGGTTAGCCATACTGTTTCCTTTTACACACCTTTATTATTTCTTTCGAACTCGTTTGCCCCCTCCTCACTTCATTTTCATGACTCTTAGTAGATAATTTTGCTACAGTGGGGCTTAAACAAATAGAAACCTTCTGGAAGCTGCTTTATTACCTTTCTTCCCTTCTGTAGATAAAAACGCATAAACAGTCCCGATCCTTTCTCCGTGTTTCAGTGGGGAGGTGGCCTCTTTGCCTTCCAGTTTACTTGTTCTTGGCATTCTGTCTCTTCCTGCTTCTTCTTGCTGACTTCACACCTCACTTTCCCACCTCTCAAATTTCTGAATGCTCCATGTTTTCCATTGTTTTTGCTGCAGCCTAAAAACATGGCCTTGTATTCTTCCTACAGAAAAGGAGTCATCGTCGCATCTCCCTACCCACTGTGACACCATTCTTGGAATTCAGTCTTTTCACTCCAGTTCATA